CATGGTGGGTAGAGTGCCATGGTGTCACAACTCACAGCAACCTCCAACTCCTGGGCTTAAGCTATTTTCTTGCCTCAGCCTCCCAAGTTGCTGGGACTACAGGCGCCTGCCACAGCACTCGGCTATTTCTTGATTGTAGTTGTTGTTTGGCAGGCTTGGGCTGGATTCAAACCTGCCAGCACTGGTGTATGTGGCTGGCACCTTAACCACTTGAACTACAGGCGCCGAGCCAAAAGGAGAGATCTTTAATGAGATATTGAGAGGCAGTGTGCTAAAAGAAAAGAAGCAATATACATAATATATACAGAATTTTGGAATTAGAATTGTATTTATATATTCATTGATTACTAGCTGCTTGACTTTGAGAAAATTACTTAGTGTTCTAAGCCTTGTTTTCCTGTCTGTAAAACTGAGATATAATAATATCTACTTTATGAGGTTGTTGTGAAACTGAGATTTTGTATTTTGGGATCCATTTTATAGCAGGGCTTCAATAATAGCTATTAAATGAAAATATAATTCCTCAGGGAAGGTTGACCGTGTCATGCCCACAAGGGGGCAGTAGTGGCCTTCATTTTATAGGCTATCAACAATCATTTCAATTCATTTTGCTTTCAGTTGTATTCAAAAAATTTACTTTAGGGCTAGGTAAGGTGGCTCGTGCCAGTAATCCTAGCAGTCTGCAAGAGTGAGGCGGGAGGCAGGAGTTGGAGACAAGCTTAAGCAAAGCAAGCTTGAGTTGAAGACTCTAGTAGAGACTAGAAAAGAGACTTTCTAGACTCCAGAAATAGAAAAATAGCCAGGCATGGACAAGCACCTATAATCCCAGCTACTTGGAAGGAGGCAAGGGGATTGCTTAAGCCCAAGAGTTTGAGGTTGCTGTGAGCTAGGGTGATGCCACAGCATTCTAGCCCCAGCAACAGACTCATAAAGAAAAAAAGAAAAGAAAAAGAAATTAGCTTATATATATATATATATACACACACACAGACACACACACATAATCACAACATTGACAGTCTTTTGGATTTATGGTGGTTTGGGTCACACTGATTAAAGCAAATGATTTCTATTCTAAAGGCATTTAGAAGCAAATAAAATGTGTTCACAAACATATGAAAAGAGCTAGGGATGGTCTTTAGTCTAACTTCTGAAATTCTCCAGATTTGGAATGATAAGCAAAGTTGAACACAGTTCAGGATAGCTATTCTTTGCCTTGGTTTCTTGTTGTGTTTGTCGTGTAACTTTTGGCAGACCTACTGTTCCTTCTTTCCTATCTACATTGACAGTTGCAAATTGAAATTATTAACCCATCACATAATAAAGCTGACCTCTCCAATGTCATCTTTTTTTTTTTTTTTTTTTTGAGACAGAGTGTTACTTTCTCACCCTCGGTAAAGTGCTGTCCCGTTACAGCTCACAGCAACCTCCAACTCTTGAACTCAAGCATTTCTCTTGCTTGACGATTTCTCTTGCTCAGCCTCATGAATAGCTGGAACTACAGGTGCCGGCCACAACACTCAGCTAGTTTTTAGAGACAGGGTTGAACCTTTGAGCTCAGGCAATCCCTGCGTTTCGGCCTCCCAGAGTGCTATGATTACAGGCGTGAGCCACCTCACCCAGCATTATATTTTTCTCTATTAGTACTTTTTTTTTTTTTT